CTACCAAGTCGGACGCACCGATGAGCTTGCCGTTGAGAACGACGACACCGGCGCCGGTCTCGATGGCATCTTTGTGGGCTGCCACGACGTCAATAGCGTACTGCAGTTGGGCCGGCGTCGGCGAGAAGGCCGCGTTTGTCTTGTCGATCGTCTACAGAGATCACCGCGTCTCCTTACGAGCAACAAGACGTGACGCACCGACGCATGCATGAGCGTCTTGCCGTCGAAACCCATCTCGACGCCATGGCGCAGCTGCGCGTCAAATGCAGCGACTTGGTGGACGTCAAAGTGCACACCGTCGATCGCTGCCAAGTCGTAGGCGCGCGCAGCGAGGACGATCATCGCGAGGCTCGGCACAAGCGCGTGGCGACACGGCGTCAGCTCGATGCGGAGCTCCTGAAACCATACTAAGCGCGACGAGAAGCGGCAGGACGGACCTTGCTCAAGTCGGACGTGCCGGCAACAAGGGTACTTAGACGTGGGTGCGAGGACGCGATGGACTCGACGTTGAGAACACCGCGCGGCGTCTCGATCATGGCCCAGATCCCCATGGTCGGGGGCGCGCCCTGGGCGTCCATGGCGGCCGCGACCTCGGCCACGATGGCCGCCGAGTCAACCTTGGGCACAACGATCGCGTCGGCGCCTAGACACCAGGAAACAGCGAGGCCATGGGACGACGCGACGTACCTGCAGCGACGGCGCGGGCGAGGTCGGCGGCGCCCCACGCACTCGCGAGCGGGTTGATGCGCACGGCGATCTCCGCGTGAGCCCTGAGGCCGCCGGTGACCGCGTCGGCGACGAGGGCGCGCGCTTCGGGTTTCTTGGCGGGGCCCACGGCGTCTTCGAGGTCGAGCATGGCCGCATCGCACGCGAGCCGCGGCAGGTCGCGCAAGAGCGATGTGTTGACGCCTGCCCCATGGCCATGAGCATTAGATGCAGACACCGATGTACCAGGCACAAAAAGGACACTGCGCGTGAGCCGACCGAGACGTGCCATGGACGACGGTAGATACGGAATCTCGACAAGATTTTGCAATCTTCCACAGTCGCCACTTTGCACTTTCGCATCCCAGGTCTTGGCTACTTCAAGTAGGAGCGCATCCGCCCGGACACCAACTGGATAAAGCGCTTGATGTCGTCATGCAGCGAGCGCCCAAGAAGCAGAGCGACGTAGCTGCCAACATCACCAAGGTGTCCACACCTGTCGCCTGTGCTGTGTATGGTACTGAGCTGTCATCCCAGAACTTGGAGCTAGTACTGTTATGTCTTAGAGCTATGCCTCGTCCGTCTAGAGCTTGGAGGTCGCGATTTGCTCCTGAATGAGCGCGTGCTTGGCGAGGATATCCCGCGCATATTCCACGTGTAGGTTTTCTAGGATCATCAGAGAGGATGCGTTGGTAGCAGCTGTCGTACCGATGAGCTTGCCGTGGAGGACCGCCATGCCGCTCCCAGCAGCAATCGCCTCGTCGTACGCTGCAATCACCTGGGCAGCGTGGTCGACTTGGTCGGACGTCGGCGAGAAGGCGTCGTTGGTCGCGGCAATCGTCTGCACCGCCGAGGTAAGGACCATAAGCAGTTCCATACATGCGTATAAGGTACCTTGGGATGAATGAGCGTCTTGCCGTCAAAGCCCATCTCGACGCCTTGTCGCAGCTGCGCCAAAAAGTCTGCCGAGTTGTCCAAGTCCAAGTGCACGCCATCGAGCGCGCGTAGGCGGTGGGCGCGGGCAGCGAGGAGGATCATCGCCAAGCTTGGCACGAGCGCATGCCGGCACGGCGTCGTCGTGCACTGCAGCTCCTAAGGGAAACATGCGACTTGCTAAGTGATATGCAGAGTCTAGCGGACCTTGCTCAAGTCCGAGGTGCCGGCGACGAGCGCACTCAAGCGCGGGTGCGATGCGGCGATCGACTGCACGTTGAGCACGCCGAGCGGGGTCTCGATCATGGCCCAGATCGCCATGTCGGGCGGCGCATCCAGCGCGTCCATGGCTGTCGCCACCTCGCGCAAGCCGTCGGCCGAGTCGACCTTGGGCACCACGACGGCGTGCGCGCCCGTGCGCACGGCCTGCTCGAGGTCCGCTTGGCCCCACTCGCTCGCGAGCGGGTTGATGCGGATCGCGACCTCCTTGTACGGACCATACCCGCGCGTGGCTGCAGCGCACACGAGGGCTCGGGCCTCGGCCTTCTTGAGCGGCGCCACGGCGTCTTCGAGGTCGAGAATCGCTGCGTCGCAGGGCAGGACGCGCAGCTTCTCAAGCGCTCGCGCATTGATGCCTAGAGGTCGTGCTTGACGCAGGGCCATGGAGACGCTCGTTGGTACCAGGCAGGAAGAGGACGCTGCGCCCAAGGCGGCGGGCGCGCTGCTGAAGCATTGCCGTCGGCCTGCCTAAAAAAAATATCGTTTGACTCGGTGGTGCCCCGGGGTACACTCGCCAACTTCAACCCTATCAACCAAGCCTTCCAACGTCGGTCTAGTAGCTTCTAGTACTAACGTTAGTAGAAAGGACAGTATTGCGCAATGGTGTATAGTTCTTATGCTACTTCTAGGCGTGCTCAAGGAAGATCACGGTGCACGTGATATCGTCGTGGATGCTCCTTCGCTGAGGCCCCTTGGAAATCGCGAGGAGGTCGTGCAGCGCGAGGCCTTCCTTGCTCGCGGCGCGGTCGAGCGCGCAGTGCACGAGCGCAGCACTGGCATTTGGAATCGGCGCCTCGCCAGCGTTGGCCGCCGTTGTCACTATGCAAAGGATATCTCTCGATGCTCAAACCCGCCATAGTACGTACCGTAGTTGGTGACGATCTGGACGGCGAGGAGCGGGGGCACCACCTCCCAGAGCCCGTCGCTCGCCAGAATCAAAAACTTGTCGCGCTTGGTGATGTGGTGCACAACCACGTCGGGCTCGGCGGTGATGTAGGGCACCTTGGCCTTGTACGGCGGCGCACTGAACTCGTCCGCTTTCAAGTACCAGTCGCCAAGGGCCCGCGTGACGCTCAGCGAGCCCGCGACGCGCTTGATGCCATACTCGCTGCAGCTCAACCGGTCGTCTTTGCTCATGCGAATCGCATTGCGGTCGTTGCTTCGCTCAACGACTATCGCGAGCGTTAGTTAGTAGATGTCGACCCACCGACATTGCGTACCGCGCTTGATTTCGTCCGCGTTGTTGCAGTCGTGGGTCGTTGTGAGCACCTTGGCGGCCATGGACGCCACGTCGACCGTCGAGATGGCCGACGTCGAGTAGCCCAACACCGCTTGGCAGTCGCCGACGTTGGCGAGCAAGACCGTGTCGCCTACAGCCCCACACATAAGACAATCAGAACTGATAGAGAATACGATGTTGTACCGCGGAAGAGCGCCGTGACCGCGCACGACCCCGTGTTGCAAAAGCCTTTGGAGCTGGCGATCGTCGGTCCGTACGACCGGAGCTTCTCCTTGAGCAGCTCGTCGCACTTGAGGAACGCGCTCTTGAGCGCTGATGTGAGCGGCGGCGGCGGCGGCGCGTCCCGCTTGCGCTTGAGCGGCGACGCGTTGGCTTGGACGTTGTCTAAAATGAGCGGGCCGAGCGTCTTGTGGATGAAGTTGACCGCGATCTCGCCGCCGTGGCCGTCATAGACCGCAAAGAGGGCCGTGTCCGGCGACTGCGTCCAGCAGTCGCTCCGGTCTTCGCTCATAATGTTGCCTTCGTACGTGGTCGTGCAGTGGCGCAGCTCGAATGGCCGCGGCGAGGCCACCGCTTTCGTTGGCGCCATGGACGCGACTTGCATCTTGGCGCCTTTGGGCGTCCAGCCACAAAACCACGGGACCGAGAGATTGAGCTCGTCTGGAAGCTCTTCCTTGCCGCAGACGCTGGCGACCGCGACAAGCGACCCGTTGCACTTGGTCCGTGCGGCTTCGACCTGCCGTAAAAAGTCGTCGCCGTGCTCGACGAGGTCCGTGAGGAAGAGCAGCGATCGGTCGGCGGCATGTGCGTCTTGGAGGAAGGCGACGCCGCAGTGCGCGTGCATGGCGAGGGCGCCGGCGAGCAGGAGGAGCGCGGGCGCGCCGTGGCGGTCGACCACCACGTGCGTGAGCTTGACGCCGTCAAAGGCCTCGCAGACATGGGCGCAGAAGGCCGTGGTCCCATCGAGCGAGGCCAGCAGCTTCGAGAGGTTGAGGCCCGGCGTCGTCAGCATGAGCAGCGGCGCCCACGCGGCCGGCGAAGCGGGGCGGCGACGGACCATGGGCAGAGAAAACCAAAAAAAGGGAGCGCGGGAGAGAACCGGGTTGTCCGGATAACGCGAGATTCACAGTATTTTAGAAAGACGCACCCATCTCGTCAAAAGCGCACCTGCTACCACCTTCTTGGATCATTCCCTGCCGACGGCTCGATTGCCACCTTGGCGAACCTTGGCGCTGACCTTGCTGCACTTCTAGAGAAGGAAGGAAGTCAACGCATTTGTTGAAGAATGACAGCCAGTCGCTAGGCGGTGTGTCCCTGTATGTGGGTTTCACAACGTCATAAACGGCCCAGCCAACGACTGCGGAGTTGCATGGGAGGTTACGTGGCTGCAGAGTCTGCAGCCAAAAGCCCAGACAACCTAACCATAACCATGAGATCAAAGATCCAAGCTCGACTTCTCGTCACTCGACTGCCGCGGTATGTACTGTAGGAATCCCTGGCACCTACAGAAACGGCGAACCTCAACGTACGTTCAAAGCCACGGTGGAGATCTATCCTTTGACCCTGCTGTCCCAACCAGCTGCAGTTGAGATTCGACGAGGATCACTCGATGAGGACTTCTGCGCGCAAGCAAGTGGTTCTCCGTTGCCCCAGCATCCGGTTACGCCACCGCGCACAAATGGAGGCCCTAGAAAAGCGCACCTGATATCAATTTCGGTGCGCTTATTCAAAGACCGCGCCTTCAAACCTTCAAATTGAACTTGCTGCCGAAAGCATCCGCGGATGCAAGGAAGAGGATCGGGCTTCTCGCCACGAAACCTCTTGAATGAATTTGGTTAATTCCTCTCATTCGCGCAGTTGTCGTATGATCCACAGTGCGTTTTAGTTGGTCACACGAGGCAATCTTCCTCGTTTTTGAACAGATTTCTTCTTTTACTCTCTTACTCGCTCAGGCGATTGCAGAGATGCCAAGCAACAGATCCCATCCTCTTCCACACCGATATTTGTCCGGTACAGTAGCCTCAAGAATTGGCCCATTGACGTCAAGGAGGCATCTCTTCGAACTTATGACACTCTCCACGTGCAGTCGCCAAGTGCAGCGAGAGGCCCGAGCACCCTCTCGCTGCCCTGTCTGTGTACTGTCCTGTCTGCAACCTCCTTGCTTTCTCAACCCAATCGTGGTCGTGTCGAGTTAATTGGAAGCCGCCCGTATTCATGTTGGCGCGAGCTTGGGACAAACCCTCCGTTTTACCTCAAAGAAACGTTCCTCATTGGCTGAAACCGTGGTGGGAAATCCACGCGGCGTATCTCCCACCGCAAAATATCGGCCACTTTCTATTTTTCTATGGGCTCCCGCGAGTTTGACATCATCGTCTTTGGCGCGAGCGGGTACGCTGCTCCTTGCATTGCATCCGTTCAGCGTAGCAGGCTCATGCCACGTGTATAGCTTTACCGGGCAGTACGTGGTGCTCGACCTCGCCAAGCGAGTGCTGAGCATGCCCAACCTGCGCTGGGCCCTCGCTGGCCGGTCCTCGGCCAAGCTCCACGGTGGGTTCCTTGTCCCACACGTGGCGCTTTCCTCATACTCGCCTTCTAGAGGTCTACGCCAAGATCGTTGCAGCGCTGCCCGCGTACAGCAGCCAGCCGGCGATCCCGATCGTCCTCGCCGACGTCCATAACGCCCCGTCGCTCGACGCCATGAGCCAGCGTGCACGGGTGCTGCTCAACTGCACGGGGCCGTACGAGTACTTTGGTGAGCCCGTAGTCGCGAGCTGCGTGCAACACGGGACCCACTACCTCGACATTACGGGCGAGGCGCACTTCATCCTTGAGATGATGGCCAAGTACCATGACGCGGCGAGAGCCAAGGGCGCACTCGTCGTCAGCGCCATGGGCTTTGACAGCGTGCCCACCGAGGTCTGCGCGGCCTTTGCGTCGGCGCAGTTCCCGCCCCTCGGCCGCGTCGCAACGACCGAGGTACTCATGGGGATCGACTCGTCCCACGGCCACGCGACGACGTACGAGTGCGTCGTGCTCATGGCCAACCCGAGCCATCGCGCCAAGACAGCGCGCTACTACGACGCTGTCCGTCCGCCAGCGACCAAGACGTCGCAAGGGCTCCTCTCGCGCTACCTCTTTTCGTACGACGCGCGCATTGGCAAGTTTGCCGCTCGCTTCATGGGCGCGGACGCGTACCTTCTCGAGCTCAGCAACCCTGGCGTCGAGACCCAAGTGTATTTCTACGTCCAGCACTTTGGCTATGTGATTCTGCTGGCGCTGTTTGGCCTTCTCCTCGGCCTCTTGGGGTGGTGCGAACCCGGTCGCCGGCTTCTCATCAAATACCCGAGCTTCTTCACGGCCGGCGCGTTCACGCATGCGGGGCCGACCCAAGACGAGATGGCGACGGCGTCGTTTACGCACTTTTGCATTGCGCGCGGCTATCAGGATGTTGCCAAGGTACGTGGAATGGCTCAGGAGGGATGCTTGAGCGATGCGTAGGCGGGCGGTGCGCTGGACTGGCAAGTCAAGGTGCGCCTCGACGGGCCCGAGCCAGGGTATGTCGCGACACCGATCTGCCTTGTCGAGGCCGCGCTCGTTGTCGTGCAGGACGAAGTGAGTGCGAAGACGCTGCCGCGCGGGGTACTCACGCCCGGTGCGGCGTTCAAGCACTCGGACTTTATCGCCAAGCTCCAACAGCGTGGTCTTCAGTTCTCGGTTCTGAGCGCGGGCCCCATCTAGTTGACCACTAAGATCTTAGTATGTGCAACTACACGACGCGAGATGTTGTCAAGAGATGATTGACAGTCCTCGGATTTTCGACACGCGTACCATATAAGCCGTAGGGAACAAAGCTAGGGGACATTATAGCGCCTTGGACCTTAATTAGAGCTTGACACGATTAGCACTGCAAGGTCTCGATACTGGTACTTGCAGCTCAATGTCAGGGTCTCTGCACACCACGCTGCATGCGCCACAGCGAATCCGCCAATCAAATGCCGCCATTTTTCGAAGCACGAATCAGAATCTGCAGGCTCCTCGCCGACGCTGGACAGGCCGATGGCATCCCACTTGCACCAGTCTTGGTCAGCATCGACGCACGTATGAGCGCTGCTGTGCTGACGCAACCAGCCCTCCTTGCCCTCGTCTTTGCCTTCCAATCCGGCCTCTTTCATGACGTGCAAGCACGCTGCATCGAGTTCCATCGAGACGTGTCTTGCACCTTGCGGGCGACGAGCCTGGGCTGGTGCACCCACGTCTACCGCCTTCCCCGTGTCATTCCCAGTCGAACACTGCTATGTCAGAGCGTTAGTATGCTCTCGGGCGACGACCTGCAGCTCTATTATCCCCACGGAGGCGAACACGATCGGCGGTTCGTCTTGCACGTGGCCATCTACGAAGGGGACGTGGCGGCCGTTCGCCGCATCACAGCGTGCTGCCCACGCTTGATCTCGGAGGCTGCGATTGACATGGCCTTTCGACTAAACGAAGAAGCGATGGCGACTGCGCTCTTGCGTGTGCACGGCCCGAGCTCGCAAGATGCGCGTGTGTGGTGCACCAGCTCGCTCTTTGACGTAGTCGTGTCCCGTGGCTCGGTCGCCCAGCTTCAATTGCTGCGCACATTTCTTCCGTCTGGCTGGCCGAAATCGTGCCTTGAAATGGCGATCGCACGGCGATACTTGGCGTCAGCTCTGTTCCTCTACGTGTTCTGCCCCGAGACGCGCGGCCATGCGAGCTTCTTGACGCAGGCCGCGACCACTGGGTTTACAGCACTCGTGCAGTTTCTTCAGCAAAATACTAGTTACAAGTTTGCAAACGAATCGTAAAATACGCTATCGTACTCGGAGTTGGTGTGTTTCCTTGGTTTCAAGTCCTAGCCGAGCCATGCTCGTGTGGTCGCAAGACGCGACGAAGGAGATCATATTCGCATTCTGCAATGTGTTGAGGCGTGCTGGGTGACACTCGATGACACGCGGCGCGTCATTCGGCTTGGCGCAGTGCCGCAACGTGTTGCACGAACGCGGAAAAGCCAACGGTACGCGCAAAGGTCAGCGGGTCGTCCTCGCCATGCGTCTCGGGGCAGGACGTGTAGAGGTACATCGCGCTCGACAATTCATGGTGCTTGATCGCGACGCGGAGGCACTTTGTCGGCCACGCACCCGGGTAAAAGGCTCAGAGGACCTCCAGGTGGGGCACGGACCCTCGGCGTACTATACGTGGCAAGAGCGAGCGGCCAAAGGTTTCCATCCAGTCGCTATCACGAGAGCTTGGGCCATGGAGACGCACGAGGGCTTTTGCGATAGCAAGCTCGTCGAGCGTCAAGGCCAATTCGACTGCGTCGTCCGAGAGGAGGCGTGGACAGCACGTCGCCATGCGCGTGGCAGCATCCGCGTCGCCTTCGTAGATGGCCACATGCAAGATGAAGCGCGGGTCTCGAGTGTCCGAGTGCAAGTGCAAGTCGGAACCTTGCATTGAATAGAGCACTGCGTGTGGCGCCGACCGGCTGCGCACGCCCCGTGGCACGTCGTACTCGCCGATGCACCAGTATGGGTCGACCCATCGCATCGCAAAGCGCACGCATCGGTGGAACTCGACGAAGCGGCTGCGGACGTCGGCGAAGACGCCATCCTGGAAGCTCGTGATGCGAGCGACAAGCGGCGCCTGCGAGAGCACAGCCGCGATGCTCATGGTAGAAATGCCAACGAAAAAGGCAAAGTGAGCCATATGCAGCCACCTGATTGGCGGGCTGCAAAAACCATTTCGATTTCAGCCAATGGAAACCAGCCACTCGGATCCATCCTGCTCTTGTCCCAAGACTTCCATGCGATGCTCCGCGCGGTCAAGACTTCCATGGGATGCTCCGCGCGGTCCTGCCTGTTTGCACTGGCTCAGCAGGGCCAAATACGCGCGCCTCACTATCCCCGAGCACGAAGTACCGCCACTTCCTCGCGGACTGCGACTTTATCAAGGACGTAGAGAGCACCCTACATGCGGTCATGGTCCCTTGGGCGTGGTCTTGCTGACAACGCTCTCGGGCTACCTCTACCTGACGCCCAAGACGGCCTCCAACATGCACCAAGCCGCGTGCTGCAACCTCTGGCCGGTGCACCACAGCCTCGTTCAAGAGCCCGAGCAGCCTGTATTTGTAGGCTTCTCCGGCTCCTCGCCCAACACGAGTGGCCGCGCCAGCACCTTGTCCCGCGGATCGCGCTCCTGCCCAGATCAAGTTTCCTCAACCGCGTGTACACAAGAAGAAAGTCCGACTAACAATATGCAAGCATACGCGTCTGCTCCTCGGCGCTGGTCGTACCGGTCGCTACTGCCTGGACAGCTGAATGGCTCGTGGCCGTGATGGAGTCCTAGCTTGCATCTCTCTCGACATCTCTCCGACCTGCAGGGGCGTATTGTGTGCAGCATCAAGCAAGACGTGGAGGCTCTAAGGGTCGTAGCAGAACGTATATATGGGTCATAACTTAGTTGGTTTGCTTGGCAATCGCGATGGTCACAATGTCGGAGAGAGACACGCGCATGTTTGGCTGCGCAAACCGGGTCGGGAAGCGTTCGGATGCGGGGAGTCCAAGGAGACGACGCGAGTCGAGCGACAGCACAGTCGTCGCTTCAATGGGCCGCGGCGCGACCGGTGCAAGCGGCTGGCCCGCCACCACGTCGTAGAGCTTGAACTCGCGGACGCGACGGTCGCTCGAGACATGGATGCACAAAATGTACTGGACACCTGGGAAACGATGCCACGCGCTGGCCTTGGCATCGAGCTGCGTCCAGCCGCGCGTGACGCCGATCTCGACCTTGACCGTGTGGTAGTCGGCCCACGAGAGGAGGCCGCGCGGGAGCGACCCGCCGACGCCGCGGTCCGGGCCGTAACTGCAGTCGGGTTCGATGAGCAAGTCCAGCGACGCCACCATCGCGCTGCGATAGTGCTTGAGATGCCAGTTGCTCGTGCCCGTTGCTGCCTCGACGACGCTGTTGCATGCGGCAACGAGGGCCGTGTGCAATGGCAGCGGCAGCTCCGTGATGAACACGTGCCCGTCGCGCCACGTCATGGCCTTGGACGGCAGCGTCTGGAATTCGGCCGCGACGTAGCTTGTCCACTCGTCGAGCGGCAAGGCGCCAATGTCGACGCCGCTGTCGTAGTGCGTCGAGGCCAGCTGGGCGGCCACGACGGCGAGGTCGGCGCTGTGGAGGAGCTGGTTGAGTGCATGGATGGAGACGTTCCAGGCCATGGGCTGGGCTGTCGTCGTGGTACTAGTAGAGCTCGTCATGGATGGACTGCAAAATGGAAAATGGAAAATGCAGCGTATGTGGCTGCGCCGAGCATTCCTTCTAGAAGCGGTCGCGCGTAATTTGCGTTAAAGGTCCATTAAACGCCAAGTCGTGTTTACCACAATGAGATCTTAGAGGCGCCAGTATGAGTGTGATAGAGGCTGGAGCAAGAAGTCCCTTGGCGCCAGAGACCTGCCACGGATGGCGGCGTCTTACCTGTCAGTGCGGTCGTTGACGTATTTCAAATGGTTGTCGTTGGACCCAGCGTTGCCGGCTCGTTGCATTTTACTACATAGTATTCTAGGTAATGTAGGGGTGCTGGGTACTGCCAGCACGCCTCGTGCAGACACCTCATGCGCGCGTACATGAGGACGCTGTTGACACAGGCCTTCGGAGCTCTTGGCCCTTGGAGATTGAGGGCCGAGGTTGGATTCGGAAAGATCCGAAATGAGCATGAGCAGTATTCAAATGCCTCGATGTTTGACTTGATTTTACTATGGTCCACTTGCAGGAAACAGTGTATTACCAAAAAGCCTGATTTGTCCGAATGATGCGCCAAATGTCCGAAATGAGAAACAGAATTTGATTTGGTCGTCCAATGTAGTGGAGATTTACCGTGAATATACGGTCAAGTGTACGGATGCCGCTGGTGGTATGCGGATTTGTACGCGCCATGCTGAAATTGCGTCGTTTCATTCGACGCTTGGAGGATCACAGAGCCTGCGCAAGGTGTCCTAAAGTACCGTTAAAATGGACGCGAAATGTCCGATGTTGCCGTACTAGTATACAGGATCCAAGTCCGTTCAGTTCTACAGTACTTGGTTTTCAAAGTTGACATCGCAAATGACTTCGATGATCGTAGTATGCGACCACGGCCGTTGACTCGGGATGTTGGCCAGCAACTTGATTGAGTTGGAGGTGCTGGCTCTTGATGAACGTCCATCGTTGTTATTCCAAAGAGCTGTTATCACAAGTCCTAAAGTCCATTTCATTTCTTATTTTTCCATTTTGCACCTCAGTTTATCCATCCGAAAGTACGTACCTGGTCGTCAACCACTGTCAACGCCTCGGTCGTTGCTGTGCTCGATAGTGTAGCATGTCACGGGTAGTCCAGCAAATCTTTGTACACGCACCAAAATCCTTTCTTGGAGTACACGGGGCACTGCAACGATGGCTGACGTTGCTCTCGGATCCATGCTCTTCATGAGGACCCGCCGCCATGTCCCAACGACTCACGGTCGGGTGGGCACCACTCGGGATAACGCTGTTCATTTTTGGCGGCGACCACATGACCACTTTTCACGTTCCTGGTGATGCTGGCGATCGCATTTCAGAACAAGAGTCCAGTGATCTCACGCCATCGCGCTGACCAGCGGTTCGACCAGCTCCGCCTACTCAGTATGCACTCAACCGAGCCCGAGCCGGGTGTTTATCCAGCATTGGAGGGCCAAGAGGCATCTCCATCGGTCATTACAGCGCTCAGTCGTCGTCGTCGTCGTCGTCGCTGGCAAAGGCGCTTCGTTGCCGAGCGTCGCTTGCTTGTGCGCGAGCGCGCGTTGTCAGATCCGGCAAATTCCACTGGCTTATGTTACACTGTATTTTTAGGACGGTATCCGTACGCTCGGTGGCGCCACTGGCTAGTACTACGTGGCAGAAAGTACTTTGCGGCGATGCAAGTCAATCAGCGCGCGCCTTTTGTCGCCGACGACGAGGACGTCCTCGCGATGGACCAGCTCCTCTCGGACCACGCGCCCGAGGCGAAGAAGGTGCACGCGCCTCCGCCGGTGCACAGCTACCGGCCCGACATTGACGGCCTCCGGACGCTCGCGGTCGTGCCCGTCCTCGTCTTCCACGCGTACCCGACGCTCTTTCCCGGCGGCTTCATTGGCGTCGACATCTTCTTTGTCATTTCCGGGTTTTTGATTTCCGGGATTCTCTTCAAGGAGCACACGCGCGGCAAGTTTACGTACGCGAGCTTTTACGAGCGCCGCGTCCGCCGTATTTTCCCGACGTTCATCATCGTGCTGAGCGCGACGCTCTGGCTCGGGTACCTCTACCTCATGGCGCCCAAGCTCCAAGCGATGGCGGCGACCATCTTTGCCGGCACGCTCTTCAGCGCTAACCTCCAGGTCCTCTCGCTCGAGAAAGCGTACTTTGATTTGGGCAACAACCCGGTCTTGCACCTCTGGTCGCTCGGCGTCGAAGAGCAGTTCTACATTCTCTGGCCGTGCTTCTGCGCCATCATCATGAAGCTCTCGTACAAGCGCGCGATCTTCTTCCAAGTGGCGTTTATGGCGCTGAGCTTTGGTATCAACATTGCCTTCCTTGGCTACCGCGACAACAAGGTGTCGTTCTACATGCCGCTCTGCCGCTTTTGGCAAATGTCCATGGGCGGTCTCCTCTCGTATGTGGCGACGCAAGCGGCTTCGTCGTTGGAGCCGCCGGCCGCACCGGTGAGCTCGGGCGGCTACACGTCGGCGGCGGGCCTTGGCCTCATCCTCCTCGGCTTTGCCGCGATCGACGAACACCGCGCGTTCCCCGGCTTTTGGGCCTTCCTCCCGACAGCCGGTGCGACCTTGCTCATCGCGGCGGGCCCTACTGCGCCGTTCAACCGGTACGTCCTCGGGAACGCAGCCGTCGTGTACATTGGCAAGATCAGCTACTGCCTCTACCTCTGGCACTGGCCGCTCCTTGTCATCACCAAGGACCGGTACCCGCTGGCAGCGACGCGGCCGTTCTTTGCCGAGCCGTGGGTCGTCCTCGTCATCTCGTTTGCACTGAGTGTCGCAACGTACGAAGACGTTGAGATGCGGCTACGCCGGAGCAAGAACAAGCTCATCACGCCCGTGCTCGTGCTGGGTGTGGTCTGCATCGCGTTGTTTTCGGCTGCCGTCCACGCCAACCCGGCCGACTACTCCATGATCGAGATCGGTCTCAAGCACGCCGCCCCCCCGGCGCTTGTCGACGCGCCAGTGCTCGTTAACAACGCGTCCACTGGCATTCCGGACATCATCGCACCGTCCTTGAGCCAAGCGCAGCAAGCCATGAGGGACTACGGCTGGAACGAAGGCATGGGCGACGAGCTGCCGTACAGCTCGCCGTACGTCACCAACTTGATCCGACCGGCCGGCTACGGGCACCAGGTCAAGTATTTTCCTGGGGAAGTCAAAGTCATCAACCCCGGCCACGAGAAGGACAACGGCCTCTTGATTGTCCTCGGGGACTCGCACGCAGACATGTCCAAGCCGCGCTTTGTCAAGCTCTTTGAGGACGCGACCGCCAACAACGACGACAAGTTCCCGACCATCGTGGTCAACAGCTACTCGGCGCGCCCGCTCCTCTCGTGCCGGGCCGAGTTCTTTGCCACCTTGGCCATGGTGCATGCAGTCAAGCCCCAAGCAGTGCTCCTCATTGTGCATTATTTTCAGTACATGCACCCGGGCGGCCCGTCCGATCGGCCGCGCAACGCGATTCCGGCGTGCTGCTACGACGACTACCTTCCGTGCGACGAGCAAAACATGGATGATGTCAACGCCATGTGGGTCTCGCTTCAGGAGGAGCTGACAAAGCTCACAGAGATGGGCATCAAGGTGTTTGTCGTCAACCAAAGCCCCGAGTACGAGCACATGAACCCGTGGGCGTGGATCTCGGGCGAGACGGTGACGCTGCCGACGCCGTTCCGCAAGAGCGTGTTCAACCGGGACTTTGAGTGGCTCCTCGACCCGCTGCACGCGACGGTCAAGGCCGCCAACGCGACGCTCATCGACTACGCCGACAACTACTCGAACGGCGACGAGATCACGCTCACGGACGCGCAAGGCTACCCGGTCTTTGCGTTTACGCAGCACTTTACCGCGCATTTCTCGCGCAACTACCTCACGGTCGTCGACCAGGTCGTGGACGCGGCGCGGCTTCCATAAGACCTCATTGTTTGCACACTCGATATATGATGATGACCTAAACGAAGTGAATGGATTGTCCCATGTCGTTGGAATTTGGTCGTCCCAGATCTGAGCATTGGTTCGATCCAGATCACTGGGAGGTGCGCTTGAGTCTCTTGCCACGAGGTGACGTGATCGTTATAGCATCATTTTTGGCGGGAGGCAAAGCTTGCGACCATCGACTGCGAACTCAACCAGAGATCGACTGGACTCATTGCCCTTATCCAAAGGATAGCGCTGCAGCACGAAAGCACACGAAGCTACAGTGCAAAGTGAGCGTGCTAGCCGGTGCGACCAAGACTAGAGGCGACTAGAAGTATCCGTATACATGTTTATACCCTTGGTACGACAAAGCTAAACGCGGCGTCGAGCAAGATTGTGGCCGCACTCCTTGGGGTACGTTCCTTTTGTTGAGCCATTGCAGAAGGACCAAGCTTTGACTCTTTACGCTGCAACGACCCATGTACCTTGCGGCTCCCAAGTGCTGCACCGCACCATAACCAACCCCGTTTTCGCTGCATGCGCTAGCCTGCGGATGCGGTCGGTCGCAACAACATGCCAATTCTCCATGTATTGCTTATCGATCGTCCAGCACAAGCCCTGCTTCCTTGCACAGCGACGAAGTACCCGACGCGCCACGTCGAATACACTATACACGAAAGTAGAGTAGAGTACTTGGATCCGGGCAGTAGTAGCTTCTTCAGTGGTCAGTGTGGCGGCCCTGGCGCGTCGCTCTGGCGCGTGGAAGTTGAGCGCAACGGCAACTTGAGGCGGCGAGCCAATGGCATCGCTCGATTTTTCCCCGTCCTTTCGTATTTGAGCTGCATTTTCCCTTGCTGTCGCATACGATGGGCGACCGACCACCGGTGGACGTGCGTGTCGAGGGCAGCTTTCGCGCCTACTACCAACGCAACAACAAGCAAGGCGGGCACAAGAACCTGCGCTGCTTTCCCAGCTGCAGCAACGGTGTGCACACGCCATCGGGCTTTTGCGGCAGCCCCGTCATCGTGCACGTTGCGACGACGACGACGCGCCACGATGTGCTTGTCTGCGCCGAGTTTTGTCCGCTCGACAGTAGCACGCTCGTGCCCAACGGTCTCTCGCGCCTCCGCGATATAAAGACCACCGAGCAGCTCACTCGCCTCGCCTCCAAGAACGCCGCCAGTGCCCATGCGCCGTGGTATGTGGCCGACATGGTATCGCCTGGCGCATACAGCCTCAATAGCCGCAAGCGCGGGTGGCACTATGGCTGGACAAGCAACCGGCACATGGCTGACACCAGCCACGTGCTCAGCGTCTATGTCTTTGAGCGCAACAAGGCGACGCGCGACTGCTGCTTCTGGACGTGCGTCGGCGTCGGGTGGAGCCCTCCGTTTCAACTCTACTGTCGTCGGCGAGCCAAAGCGCGTATGGAGGTGCTCGCACTGCGCAGCCTCCGTGTGGACAAGCGCGGCGACGACGACAATAGCAAGGCGCCATTGCGTACGCGCAAGCGGCACCGCTCCAGTCCATTGAGCGTACCCGCCGTCGGATCCATAGCAAGCGACCAAACGTCTGAAGCCATGGCCGTTGATCTGGAGGCACTGCTAAGTGAGAGCGACTTGGACCCCTCGTAAACAAGAGTTGACAGAGGGCTCGCGTAGAAACCTTGTTCGGTATTTACTGGCGTCGCCCTTTCGGACCTCGACACGATTGTGTGGATCTTGTGTCTTGAGGTGAGAGCTTGCCTTCACTACCTGCGGAAGTGGTTCTCGTTTACTGCGGAAACAAGCAGTCGGCCGACAGCTTTTTGGATACATGTACTCGAGTTGAACTTGAGTAGTCGACCCACGCGTCAATCTGCTGCACTACACTGCGAGAGCGTCATCGCTTATCTACTGTGTGGCGTGGTTGGCGTGTCTGTGAGGCCAACGAGACAGGCGGTTTGCCGTACAATGACGGCTCTTGTACCCCATAAATCGCAGCGTGCTGGAGGCATCCCGACACGTCCGCAATGTACTACTGATCTCGATGGCTCTCGAGTAGTCGACTCTGGAAAAGGCGAGCGTCCTCCGAGCTCAAACAATGGATTTGAGTTCATTTCGCACGCTGCAGCGTGTCTCTTGTATCTTGGTCTCCACTGCAGTCGCAACGACAACGAGATCTTCCACATCAGCCATCCACCGCGGGTCTGATCACGTTGAGAGTAGAGTACCTGTAGGTTCCGGACTGCTTCACGTCCGTGGCCGTGCGCGGTGCCAAGAGCTGCGTGGTCGTGACACAGAAGAAGAGTAGAGTCCCCGCCAATTGTGTCCCACTGCCATGATCTTTGCAGCTCAGACCGCCGACGAAGGATAGACACGGGACGAGCGGGAGGGATGTGGCCGGGCGATGATGCGGCGGTTGTCTTGCACTGAACGAAAGGTGTGTCCACCATTGATGAGTGACCTTTGATGCGGCATCAGCAATGTCCGAGGAAGAGCGTCACCGCCACTCGGACCTCGATCCAGTGCAAAAGATCCAGTGTTTCAAGAATTCGCCAAAGATGCACACAGTCGCGCCAAATAAGAGGTGTGCTGTTTCTTAGTGCACAGTTCGTCGACTCAGACCGCGGTGCGAATACAGAATGCCGCTACGTAGAGGAAGGCGCGGGGATGACTCGTATCGACGGGCCTGGCCGTACAGTACGCTTCATGAACACAGCGCTTCCTCCGTAGCACCGACTCCATGGGAGCGCTACCTGGCTACATGATCGCTCTCTTTGCAACAACAGGCGCTCTGGGTCCCAGCACCATACCGGATATCCAGTCCCAGACTCGCCGCGCATGTGCGTCACTTCAACTTGAGGACATGCAGCGATCTCGCCTCGGACTAGGGTGAATAAAAGTGCTTTGTACTCTTGCACGGACTCACATGCTGTTCCCGATACGCAATCCGCGTCATATCATTGCGCAGCATGTGACGAACGACCTACGGGTCAGTCCGCGCATACGTACTACCTCTCGACATCGTCATCATCACGCCCTTCTCGCGCCTCGCTCCTCGCAAACACGCCGCGCACACCGGCGTCGTACTCGGTCGTCCAAGTTCATATCGGAAGCGCCGCTTCTTTAAACCTCGAATCGAGCATCCTCGACACCTTCTTCGACGCCTGGGTGCGCGCTTCCTCCGCTCGTTACTGCCCCGTGGCACCTGTGCATCAACTTGTCGGCTGTGACAGACAAGTTGTCTTGTCCGGATACGCTTCGCCGCCGCACTGACCACTATAGTGAAAGAACGGCAGTCATTTGAAAAATCCGGATAATGGCGCGTTTGCACTTGGGCTGCCGGACTGACGGAGCCAATGGCCTTGCAGCCCAGATTTGATTTCGATGCCAGCGTGCGAGATCCTCCTCGGGACCGTCCCTCGCCCTGTCCTCCCACCTACGACCACGTACAGCGCCATGAACGACGATGCGTTCGAGCTCACGTTCTCGAGCCTCAGCTTTCGCCCGCAGTACCAGCGCAACAACAAGAAGGGCGGGCTCAAGAACCTCCGCTGCTTCCCAAACTGCTGCTCGGGCATCCACGCCGCGACCGGCTTTTGCGGCGGGTCGGTGCTCGTCGGCGCGTCCGCCGCCCACGTGAGCCACCGCGGTACGATCGCGGTCTTTGCCGAATTTTGTCCGTTCGTCAACGGCAAGCCGCAGGGCAATGCGAGCCTTCACGACGTCTTTACCGCGGAGAAAATTGCCGCCTTGTCGAATAAGGACAGCGACGTGCATGCGCCGTGGTATACAGGCGACGTCCTCCAAGGCTCGCACGACGTCGGGTACATCTACAGCATCAACACGTTCAAGCGCGGGTGGCACTATGGCTGGACGAGCAACCGGCACACGGCCAACACGAAACACGTGCTCTGCGTCTACGCCTTTGAGCTCAACCAAGCCACCAGACGCTGGCACTGCATTTGCGTCGCGCCGAGCCCGACCTTTATGCTCTACTGCCGTCGCCGCGCCAAGATGCGCAAAGATCTCACTGCGCCCAACGACCTTGAATTGGACGAGATGGACGACGACGACGACGATGAGAACGACTCGGGCAGCAGCACGCCGAGCCTCAAGAAGCGCACGCGCGACGCCGACTTGGAGCCGCTTCTGCCGTACCCGGCGTACGACGCGCAAGAGTTTTTGCTGCCGCCCGACTCGGTCGTTGAGATTCCCGAGCTCGCGGCTTTCTTGAAGAATAAGCTCGCTCGCTTCCAGTAGCCAATCACCTCTTATTTACTACGTACTTTGTCGGTCCCTTGCTGCAAACCTAGTGTCCTTGCTGAAGCGCCGTCCGTGGACCTGTGACTCTGCGATATATGCGCATGGGACAACACAATGTGGCCCTTCGTCGTCGTCCAGATTGCACTTTGACCCGGAATATTGCGTGGAGTCCCATAAAAATACCGTAATTCTCAACACAATTACAGCTTTTGCGGAAAAAGGGATCGTTTGAACGTGAACAGGTCCCTTGCGGGGTGAGCTGGTAGGAACTTTTGTATTGAATGCGAAGCGTTGATTAACGGTATTGCGACGACGGCGCGTCGCTTGCTGCGGTCTTCGCGCGCTTCTGCAATCCAAATGCAGGTGCATTGCAATTAGGTGCGGAAATACCTTATGTACGACATGTGCTCTTAGAAGTGCGTCGTACTTAATTTATACAAAAACAAGTATAATGTCCCAACATGGACAGCACTTAACAGGGACGGCAAAATCGCACTTCACTGGACATGCTCCGCGTGATGCGATTGGCTTAGACCAATAAAACTGCGTTTCATTGGCCAAAATGGTGTAAATTATAGCCAATGGGTTGGCCAGAAAATACGAATTAATCCCCTGGGATGCTGGTACACCACATATTGCTACCGTAACGATCATTTTGACGGTACATTTGTACGTTTTTACGATGATGCATTAAGTTAGCGCGTCTACGTCGAGGATGATCAAGACAATAATGTCATCTCTCTTAGTGAAAAAGTCGGTTGTCGAGCGTAAAAATGCAAAATACCACGCTCGCAAACAAGAGCGCGTCGACGCGGTCCATGATCCCGCCATGGCCCGGGATCATGGCGCTCGAGTCTTTCACGCCGGCCGCCCGCTTGATCATGCTCTCAAAGAGGTCCCCGATGCGGCCAAACACAAAGCCGACAACCGTCATGAGGACGTTGCCGACCATCGGCCGCGAAAAGCCCGTGAGCTCGACAGCTACAAACATCATGCCGAGTGCAAAGAGGATGCCCCCGAGAGTGCCTTCGATGTCCTTGTTGGGCGACAAGTGCGGCGCGAGGTACCGCATGGTTGTGTACTTGCGCAGTCGGAGGACGCTCCCGACGACGTAGCTGCCGCTGTCGCCGGCCCAAACAGTCAGCAGCAAGACGATGATGAGCTTGCGCGTCTCCGAGTCGGCCGAGAAGACGACAAAATTGACCAGAATCTGGGACGTCCCGACCACGTAGATGAGCGCGAGCTGGTCGAGCACGATGGCGGCTAGCACTTCCAACGCTGTTTTGGCCGTCATGATATGCACAAGGTACATGGCGCAGGAGCCAAAGATGAGCATGAAGCTCGAATCCATGATGTAGACGCAGCGCGCTTCGGCCTCGGGACACAAGAGCGAGTTGCACACAACGAGCGAAAAGCTGCCTTGCGCAATCACAATCACAGTCGCAGCAACGGGCGACGGCGCGTAGAGTAGTGCGAGGGTCGTGCCAAAGGTCGCCATGGCCAGATACGGCAGCAAGAGCTCCTGGAAGGCGCTCGGTTCGATGTGCACGTCAATGAAGTAATAGGCGCCGACCGCGAGCCCACTCGCAAAGATCGTGGCAATGAGCGCGGCCATCACGGCGACCCAGCGGTGATGCGACGGCGAGAGGCGGCCAACGAGGCTCTGCGTGTGGTCGATGGCAGTCGGCGACGTCGGCAACGGCTTGCGCAGTGTCGCCTTGATGCGGTCGCTGAGCCAGGCAAACTCATACAGGCACATGGCAACGACGAGCGACGTGATCCCGCTCGTGGCCACGTTGGGCGACGCGTAGAAGAAGACGAGGACGGCGCTGGCGAGCGTGACGCCCGAGGCCAAGCGCTTGACAAAGTTCTGCCGCGGTGTCTCCATCGCTCGACCGAAAATGCGAAGCCGTTGTTAACGACCGAGGATCGAAACCGACCAAAATGTTCCTTTCAGCCGCTGGGGACAGGCGGTCCATCGACGTGTCGTCGTCTGGCGTAGCGGTGTCATGATCGCTCAAGGTCCGCCGATGGCTCTCTCCATTGCCAAAGCGGGACAATGGACAGCAGGGTAGCACAAGTGTGGCGTCAGATGGGCAGTCGCAGCGGCAGCGCCGCGCAAGATGCATGCAAGAAACGACAGCATTTGGCTTTTGCAATGAAAAAGGGTATACGGATTTACATGATGATGCAGGCGCCGTCGCCGCTCGGGCCGCGCCGCGCCTTGACGATCGTCTCGAGCTCCTTGGCCGACTGCTCAAACTTGGCGATAAAGTTGGCGCGGTCTGGGATCGCGTCAAAGCCTCGCTCGTGGATGAGCTTGTTGCGGATGGTTGCGAGGTACCGCATCTGCCGCGCGAGCTCGGGCGGGAGGTTGGTCGCCGACGAGATCTTCTCGTGGAGGCCGCGGCCGGTCGCCGAAAAGTCGTGCTCGAGGATGAACTCGAGCTCCTTGGAGCACTTGATCACGAGCTCATAGTCGTTGCCTAATGCAGAAGGACATAAGGCGCAGACCGGCAGCACGGACCTACTCGCATGCGCGTACTTGGAGCTGCCTTGGCCCATAGTCGCCGAACTGGATGGTGACGAGAAAGTGCGACGGACCCGATTAGGTGCGCCACGTGACGTGGCACGTCCGGAGCGCGACCGCTGAACCGCTTCGCAAGTGCAAACTCGGCCGGGCACAGTAGTTGCAGCTTATTGGTTCTAGTCCATGCCTCCAATATATCATCTAAGGACGCTTACATACGATTAAGTGTATATCTATCCAAGAATCAATGCCCTGCTATATGACACGACCACCGCCTGCAGCTCACCGACGCACTTGCGTCAACATGGACTTGTCATTAGCTCTCGGTGACTATTCGGTCGCTACGATCGGCAAGTCGAGACTGGCGACGTGCGTTGGTGACGCGTGGAGCGTCACGTCGCGGCCCGTGGGCGGCGTTGCGTCGTAGAAGTGGCGCTCGTCGCGCCCGCCGATGCGCACCTGGATCGAGGAGCCGGTTGCCACACGGTATGCGATCGGGAGCAGACCAAAGCGGACGCTGGCGACTTCGTTGCGCACCAGCGGCATCTGATCCTCGACGTGGAAGCTGTGGTTGGGCACATCGGCGTCCGGCGCGGACGGCAGCGTTGGTGCCGTCGTCTCCTTGCGGTGGCTCGCGCGCATGTGGCCTTCGGTGATGTACGACACAGCCTTGGTTCGCGGGTGCACGGCCACAAGGTACACGAAAAGGTCGGCGTCGACGTCCGACGACGCAATGCAGAGCGTCACGACAGCGCTACCGACAATCTGCAGTCATTTCTTAGTGGCGACAAGGGTTAGGGTTCACCAGGCATACCTTGAGCGGGCTCTCGAGCGGCGCGGACGTAAACACAATGTGATTGGTCGCCTCCCAGTGTGTATACGCAATCGGGTCGCGGATCCGAATCGTCGCATGCCAGCGCGAGTTGCCCCCGATTGACTATTTGACGTTGAGTTTGAGGTTGACATTGCGATTCAAATCCAACCTTTTGGCCAAGCACCGACATGGTTGCCGTGCCGCCCGTCACGTGCGAGAGGGTTGGGGTGAGCGCGTGCGGCGTATCCATCGAGAGGTAGTAGACACAGCGGCGTGTGTGCGCAGGCCACGTTGCACTGTGCTGCCAGCGGTTATCGCCCAGTAAAAAGTAGTCGACGCCCCGCTGCCAGTGGTGAGTGGCCGACGGAACGAGCGGCTCGAGCTCGAGCTCGGGCATCGACGGGTTCCGTGCGATCTGAAATTGGTGCTGGAGGAACTCCAGTACCGGTGTAAAGTGGTCAAACTCGGGCATCTGGGACGTGTTGGTGTCCACATTCCAGAACTGGAGACCGCCATGATTCCAGGGCCCAATGACCACCTTGCTCGACGTCGGGAGGTTGCAAAAGCCTTGGAGCGCACTCCGCGCTGTCGCGTCGAACCAACCGCTGTAAAAGAGCGTCGGCACCTAGTCCGTACAGATATTGTCTTGTCATTCGTAGACAATATGTGATGACGACGTACGTTGGCCTCTTGAAAGGCGTGGTAGACCTGGTGGAGCGAGAGGTCCCCCGCGGTGGTGTCGGGCGTCGTGACCGACGGCGAATTGCGCAGCAAGGTCGGTGTGATCTACAGTTGCCTTTTGGTGAACCGTCTTCACGACGGAAAGTGTGTACATCGTTGGTGGCGATCCAGTTGTTCTTGTGGTCGGCGACCGCGGCCACCTACGCAATGTCAGACGCCCATCTGGCACAACGAGGCTACCAGATCTGAGAACGACGTGGACGCCGGTGTGACGCCTTGGATGAACCAGGACCCCATGCGCAGCATCAAGTCGAGCTTGCCATAGTCGTTGCTATCGACGACTGAGTTGAAGGCCTGCCACAGCGTTGGGAAGTAGTGTTGCGTGATGCCACCTAATCATCGGTAATGCATTATAAACGAATAGGACTATAGTAGGATGGACAAATACCAGGGCAGGCAATGTCGTGGTAGACGTCGTAGAACATGTACATGGGCACACACGCCTTGACGGCCGGGTGCTTCATGGAAGCAGTGAGGTACGCGGCCGTCCCTTCGTAGCTGATGCCCCAGAGCGCGATCTGGCCGTTGCTGAAGGGTTGCTGCACGATCCAGTCCATGATTTGAACCGAGTCGAGGCGCTCTTGGAGGTTCCTACGCCATTATGAGTCAACTACAAGAAGGCAAGCCGCACCAAGGGCGTGTGTTGACACCAAACGACGCGCCGCAGCCGCGAATGTCCATCGACACGACGGCGTAGCCGTCGGCGAGCATGCGCGCAAAGAAGCCACTGTTGATGAAGCCCACGGGCTTGCCGCCGTTGACGAGGAGGCGGAACGGCCAGCGCAGCGAGACCGACCGCTGGTAGCGCGACTGGTTGAAGACGACGGGCCGCGCTTGCATGGGGCCCATTGGGAGGTAGACATCGAGTGCAATGCGCGTGCCATCAGCCATCGTCACGTACGTCGACTCGATCGTGTACGCGACCTTGGCGGCCGGCGCGGGCGGCGGGTACGCAGTGAACCGGTCGGTCACATGAGGCTTGCGCGGACGGCAGCACGCGCGCAGCTTGGCCACGCAGGCGTAGAGGCCCACGAGGAGGCCAAGCACCTACGTTGCTGCGATGATGCGGGCGCAGCGACCGGCGGCGACGTACCACGACGAACGGCAGTGCGCAGCCGAGCAAGACGACGGTCACGGCACGCCCTACACGCAGCACGTTAGCGTCGAGGGATGGCCATGGGCGACGTACAGAGGAGCGAGTTCTTGGGGTAGACCTCATGGAGGTCCGTGGAAGCATGCATGAGGCTGCTCGGACGCCGAAGGTCGAAGATTGCGCAGCACCGGGCTGATTACCCTGCTGCTTGTCGTAAACGAATCACGCGAAAGGTCACCGCCCTATTAGTTTTACCCTCGTTACACACCTTTTTGCCTCTTTTATCCGGATGGATAGCTCCGTTTTGCTATATTAAATTGTGCCAGCGGCGTTTAACCCAAGTGGGTACAACTTGGGACAATTATCATTCCTATGGTTCAGTTGGGACAAACGTTTTTCGCTCGCGGGATATTGCCCATCGTTGTCGAACGATGAATCGTGCAAAGAGGGAGTTTCTATGATGCAAACCAAGAAGTTCCCGAGCCGGAAGATCGCCACGAATTCGGCGGGGTGGTCAGCGACGAAGCGGTACGGAGCTCACTTTTCAATTTACCGCACAGCCGCCAAGTAGCCTACCATGGAACACATTGTCCTTCTCCAGTTCAAGCCTGAAGTGACGCCGGAGGCCATCACTGCTCTCGGCAACTCCATCTTGGCGCTCAAGGAGGTCGTCCCCGGCATCATCGACATGGCCTTTGGCGAAGACCTCAAGGTCGGCCACGCCCAG